TGAACTTGGACAGCAAGGCAAACAGGGGACAAGGTAGACTTGAAATTATGGAAAATTTTAAAGTCGTAAGTTCCGTGTGGTAATTTAACGCTAAATTCAACATGGGTTTGATACAGGTTTTAGCAATTACGGCTTCTCTGCATGCAGAGTGCTTGTTTTTCTGGTCTTTTCTATTCACTGTGATTTTTCATATCGTTCATGTAGTTCTAAAATAAAACTTTCAGAGTACTAAGCCCAAGAAAAGTTTTGTTTTGGTAAGACTGAAATGATATCTGAAAATGTTCTTACTACTTATTTTCTTCCCTGAGAAGCGTCAAGATGCCCAGGATGATTTAAGCTGATGGAATTTCTCCATTTCTTACTGTGGTCTGCAGGCCACAGCTATCTTCACGGCAGTTGTGTAAAGGACTTGAACCAAAACATGACAGAAAGGAAGTCATCTAAGGGTAAGTGTGTGTCAAACTGCAATTTCCCTTAAATTTATCTGCCTGCTTGCAGAACCAAAAGTCTAGGTAAGACTGAAGAATGCACGTGGGATGGAGGAAGTGGCAGGAAATATAGAAAATCTGCAGCTCGAGCGGATGCTCTGGGGTCTCCAGCTACTACACCTTTGTTTAGAAGATGGAGCATGAAGCCCAGTTATTTCTGTAGACTCTGCAGGCCGAAAGGTTAATGGGCAATCATCATCCCCCTGTAGCATTTAGAGATAAGAACAAGGACAATAAAAGAAAGTGGTAAGATAAGGGGAGTTACTTATGCCATTATTACCGGCTTAGCTAAAAGCTTGCATAATCATTCAAAAGTCATCTGTTAAGTAACAAGTAAAGCGATTTGGTTTTGGGGGCTTAGAATGGAAAATTGCTTTAATACAATGACTTTGTAGAAAATCTGTCAAGCCATCTAAAGCATGATCATTTAATTACAGTTCTCTACTTGCTTCCTACTGATTACAATATTTTTATTAGTATTACTTTGTAGTTTCTTTTCCAAGTAGCCTAAGAGATGCTGCAACGGCTGGTTTTAGACAAGATTGAAATACGGTTTATCACGCATGGTAAATGTAAAATGAAGGTAAAAACCATGGACAGTACTTTGATTTTCCTTTATTCTTCCCAAGCTTTGTTTATCTAATAATCTATTTCTATTATGAAAACCTCAAAACCTTAAAAATACCATGTCCAGCAGAACGAACAGAAAAAAGTCTCCTGTCTATTGCCCTCTAGTTAACCAAATCGCTGCACAACCATTGCAGCTCCTCTATATTCCTGCCCCACGCGCCACCCAGCATACCTTAGATGTTCATCTAGACACTTCAAAATCCATGTATTTTCCCCAGCCATATCCCCTAAACTGCCTCTCCTCTGTTAACCTCTCTTCTGCCCATGTCCCTTCACCTCCAGCTGTCCCAACAGACAGCAAGCAGTGCAAAACCCCTGAGAATCGCGATGTGGCCATAGTGTTCAGCCTGCCTGAGCCTACACCACCGCATGCGGGAAGGGGGCTGAGTTTACTCCTCATTTCCACAGGAGAACTCGGTAGCTCTGCATTTTTTAAATGCCTCCGTTGAGTTGATTTGAAACTAGTTAGCAGGTTTAAAAGTTAGCAGAAAAGGGCCCAGGTGGTCAGTGCCATCTGCGGGACAATGTTGCTTTAGGGAAGAAAAGATATCTCCATTTCCCATCCTTAAATGAGAATAGAGACATATCCAGTTGATATGTCTATTTCGGAAATGAAGTTCCTAACAAATCATGGAAATACTGTATTTAAGAAAAAAAAAAAAAAAACAAAACAAACCAACAAACACACACACAAAAAAATGATTCTGGTTTTTGAGACTGCAAACCGTACAGTTTTCAATGAGTGCAAGCAATGAAGTCTTGTAATTCTGGTAGAACGTGTCTTTAAATTTAATTTTCATTTACTGTCTTTTATTACAACCCAGGCATTGTTGCTCTCATTCAATGAGTTGAGTAGCTGATATTCTTTTTAATCCTTTTAAGATTTAACATCTTTACAATTCAGTTATGTTGGACTTTCTTGCAGGCTTGCTCAGACTGTTCTGCGTGTGGTCATTCTTGGCTGTATTTTTTTTTTGTTGCAGTCCTAGAGACAAAGGGCCTAACAGTCTGTTAATGTAATCTTAGAGAAGCTTATTGTCAGAAGAGCTCAGACCGATTGCTGCTCTTTCTGTCACAATACCTGGAGGATATTGAAAAATGTGGTAGCATAGAGGAAAGCGCTTCCATTCAAGCTTTCTTAAGCTTTTTCTATATTAAAAGGTTAATACAGTTTTTGGAAAAGCTGTGAGGATTAACCTGAAAAGTTACCATGAGTATTTATTTGGAAGGTCAGTTGTCATCAATGCAATTGTTGAGCTCTTCATTGCTGCTAGAAAGTCAGGAATCTTTCTTTTGTCCTACAGAGGATGCTACCAACAGCTGGTGCAGTGATGTGGAATCTTAAAGGCGAACTTCTGTAGCTTAATAAAAGTCTAATACAAAATCACTGAATTTAGCTTCAGGATGATGTACAGAAACCAAATTGTTGAGAAAGTGAGCGTAACTACCCAAAGAAGAGGCAGAAAAGCAAGTAAGCCTGTCTAGCTAAATAGCATGTCTCAAGATCTCTTTTGACTCAGACTGACTTATTTCATAATTAGAAAGGTGAGATTCTGCTGAAGCCAATGAACGTAGGCTAATAAGCAATGTATAAGAAAATTTCAACTTCTGAGATGGAATTTGATGAACAAGTTACTGAAGTTGTTAAAAAGAGCAACAAAAAAAGTATTTTAAAGACACTAGAAGCAGGAAAAGAGTTTAAAAATAAAATAATCACAAACTCAAAAAAGGAAAAATCTGTCTGGCCTCGTACGCTAGCTGTAATCAACACAACAACTAAGAAGGATCATTTCCTGATCCCCTCTGTTGTGAAGGAAGATGTTGAAATTCCCTGCTGTACTTTTTAAAGATGCTGGTAATCTGGATAATGTATTAAATGTCAGAAAAGTAGATACTGAAGCAAACTGATAAATTGCTTTTTAAATTAAGTTCAAGAATTGTGAAAGAAAATTGTGCAGTCAGGCTGATAAAAAAATATAAAAAGTGCCTCTAATGGAAGTTGTTAGACTGGATTGTCAGCAGATAATACATCATGTCTTAATTTTTTTATATGAAACTCCATGCTTTCATTTATAATATCTCTTTATGGCTCTCATGATGAGACATGACAGGATGTGGGTAATTCTGGGATAGTAAAAAGTTACACAGGCTGAGCTCTGTGATGGTCAAGGAAAACATCTATGGATTTCCCCTCAGCCTCCAATATGAAATAGTTCTAAAACACCCAATGGTATCTCACTGTATATTTGGTAACTTTATAACCTGTTCCAGATTAAACATTAGTATTAGAAACGGAAAAATCTTAATTCCTTAGAAGTGGACTGGCTCATTAATGATCTTGGAAAAAACATATCCTGCTTAAATGCTCTTTATTTCTTTTTACATTTTTTTTGCCTTGTCTCAGGCACCTTTTTGTGGTCTAATATTCATTAAAATAGATACAATTTTCTTCTGAAAATCATTGGCCTGAAAATATAACCAACAATGACACAATCTCTTCAACTGCAGCTGTACAGTAAAGTAAATGTTTGGGAAAAGGTTTTGCATGGGCAAATGGGACAACTGTGAACATTAAATGCTTAAATGTTGATTTTGGCTTTTTGCTTTGACAATAGTATTTAATCAGATATTAAATAACATTTTTAGAAACCGTGTTCTCCATCTTCTACATTAATATATCAAGCTAGCACAAACACCTAATAAAACACTATAGGGTACAATAGCTAGTTCTGTGACCATTTTTCAATAAAACTTCAAATGAAAGTATTACCGTCCCTTTTTTAAATAACGTAAAACATCCCACCTTCTGATGAGCCTGTGTGGAAGCACTGCTTCTTCAGTCTTAACGTTTCTTCTGGGGGTCTGTGTGTTTTAGAAGCTCTCTACAACTTCTTTCTGTGGTTTTCAGGTTTTATTTTCTATAAAGCAGATGCCTCTCCCAGTACTGTCATGATAACCCTGCTTATTTGCTATACTGCCTCACATTGTTGTTCTACATAAAACTACAAAAGGCTAATTCAGGAAGGTGTTGGCTAGAAGAGACTAGAGACAGTAGACCGAGACGTTATCAACGAGAGATTGACTTTGGTCGTGGCCGCTGTCTTAACTTCCCAGCGGAGGCTTCCCCTCACACCATCCAAGCTCTGCTGATGTAAAGGGTTATAGTCTTTAGCTTTTTTTTGCCTAAGTGAGTTTCTCCGGTTTTGCCTGCTATTCGGAATTACCGATACAGACAATCCCACTCTGCAGATGGTGGTTCCTGCCTCCCGCCGCCCTCAGAGCCGTGGGTGAGCCAGCCCGGGGCACCTCCTTCCCTCATGCCCAGACAAGATGGCAAGCCCTCAGGGAATTGGCTGAACGTTGACTTTCCATTACTTGGGCTGCATTAATCACTGGTTGAGATGCTTTTATAATTGGATCGAGGGTGGAGGATGGGCTCCACGGTGGAAACAGGTCTTGTAGTGGTGGTGGCCTTTGTTTCGCTCTGCCCGAGGCCGCGCCCGGCCTGTGTACAGCCGGGCCGGGCCGGGCCGCGGCGGGGCTCGCTGGTGGCGACGAGGCTCGCTGCGGGGCTCGACCGGTTCCGCGCTCAGGGGGACGGACCGGTGCAACGGGACAAGATGGCGACCACCCCCCTCAACGGCCGGTTCTCGCGGGGAGGCTGCGCGCCGTCCACGGCCTTATATAAACACAGGGGGCGGGCTGACAGTTATTATTGGCTTACCGGCCTGCCTGTCTCACCGCTCCTCCCCCGTCCAGCACGTGCTGGCACTATTTACCCTTTCCGATTGGTGCCGCGGTGAGCGCGGGTTGTGGCAGCCAATGGGCGGCTGGTGCTGTGTGCGCGCCTGCGCAGTGCTGAGGTGCGGGCGCTGTCCGGGAGGTGCCCGCGCTCCCCTTGAGGGGTGGCAGCCATAGTCTTTCCCAACCCCCTCGGCCGGTGCTGCCTGTCTTTGCGCCGCGCAGGGCGCCTGCGGCTCCGGCGAGGAGAGCGAGGTGGAAGCCGTGGGGCAGCGGCGCCTGGTCGCGGCTTCCCCAGTGTGAGTCCGGGGTTGCTGCGGCTCTTCCCCGGGGAGGTGCCTCTGAGGTATTTCCTGCGGCGTTTGTAGACTTGTTTAAGGAGCCTGGCCATTCAAGCGTGCGCTTTTGTGTTCTGTAAGTCTAAAGCATCGTTTATAATGGTGCTCCTTGTGAGTGTCGTGGTGTTTTTTTTTTTTTTTTTTTTTTTTTTTGTGGTGAAAGAGTGAGAAAGTCTTTTCCTACGGTCCCTCTTTATCATCTGGCAGCTTCCCCCGGCTTCATTAAACCTGCAAGCGATCCCCGTGTCGTAGGGCAGGGGCGCTCCGGAGCCCCCCCGGCTGTGGATTTTGGTGTGTGGGGGCAAACGTGGCTGTGGACTCGTCTCTCCCGTTTGCTCCCGTGGAGGGGACGGTGCTCGGAGCCCGTGGGAGGAAGCGGCAGGGAGAGCTGTAGAGTTGGCAGCAAAGGATGGGAGTGCTCATCTTGTATTCACCTCTTCATCTTCCTTGTGAGCTACTACGCTTTTTTTTTTTTTTTTTTTTTCCCTGAAAAACTTATACATCAAGTATTCTTTACTATATGTGCTTTAACGGTGCTTACTCTTCGGTGTTGGTGTTGCATATGTTGAAATGCTTTTAATAAGGAGTTTATCTGCAACAACCTTTGCAGTGCATGCCACTTCATAGCCTAATGCTGTTGCATCCATCTCAGTTTAAGGATATGAGCGAGGTCAGGTTTGTAAGAAGTGACTTTTTGTTAAACTGCCTGATGTAAAGGGGTGGGGAGGGATGAAGTTTGGCACTGGTTTAATAAAGATAGAGTAGGGCTGTTCTGTGGTACTGTAATAGAAAGGAGCTAACCGAATTGGTGCTAGTGTGGGGGACAAACAGCACTAAGAGAAAGCTCTTACCTTTACGAAGGTAAAAACTTTTTTAAAACCCAGTGTCTGCACTGACAATGGTCTTTGGTAATACTCCAAAACCAACTGAAAGTGCCTTTGCAATAGGAGTGTTTGTGAAGTGCACTAGGAAGTAGTACAGGTCAGCTTAGATGTGACAGCGTTGCTGGTCTGAGCGGTGGGTGACGTGTGTCTGCTTTTTGTGGTAAACGTGCAGGACTTCCCAAAAGATCAGTTTTGTTTTCTGTGTGTGAAGTAGTCTGAAAGCTAGCTATTCTGAGAACAGAGGTCTTTACTGTTTTGTTTTTTTTTTTTTTTTTTTTTTTTAACTTTATATCCAAAAGTAGTACTTGTGTGGTGCATTGAAGAATGCAATTTGATAAGAGGAGTCAGAAAACAGCTTGCTGCTGGCGAAAGGGACAGCCCCCCTCTCTGTCCTGGCTCTGTGCCCCTGTTCCTGCACAGCCACCTCTGGGCTCCCAGGTGGACCAGTTCATGGTATGAAACTGTCAGCTCTAGAGAAATGAGTTTTGTTCCATCATTTTGTGTCTCCTGAAGCTGGTGCTTGTGGTTTTAGCTGTTTGCCAAGAGAGAAGCAGGGCTACCTTGCTTGGCTACTGTTAGGTCTTGGGAAGACTTAATCACTTCTTAAGAAAGACCTAAACCAGCAGTGGTTCTCTATGGTAATTTGAAGTTGATAGCACAGGTTGTAAAGCTGGGTGATGTTTTATTCCTACCAGATGTATCTGTTAAGCAGTTCAGTGTATGTATTGGATCCTCTAAATAATATCTGTACCTTGTAGGGTTTCATCTGTGAAGTGGTCTGAGGTTTACTGTTTTCTAAAGAGGGGAGAGAGCAGTTAGCCTTAGAGACGTTGGAAGGGTTAGTTGTGTTAGAGCTCTTGGGTTAGTCTTTTTCTGTTTTGTTGACATACCTGTTCTCTGCTCTGAAATGACCTGTTCAGTGGAAACTGATAGTTGGAATAACTGTCTTAGGGGAGAGAAGGGGAGTCAAGAAAGCTGTTTTAGACTTACATATTCTGCCCTTTCCTATTGTAACTTATTCTTTATTTGACTGTGTGACCCTGGCTGGATGCCAGGTGCCCACCAAAGCCTCTCTATCTCTCCCCTCAGCTGGACAGGAGAGAGAAAACATAATGAAGGCTCAAGATAAGGACAAGGGGGAGAGATCATTCACCAATTACCATCAAGGGCAAAACAGACTTGACTTGGGGATATTAATTTAATTTATTACCAATCAAATCAGAGGATAACGAGGAATAAAACCTAATCTTAAAATACCTTTCCCCCACCCCTTCCTTATTTCTGGGCTCAGCTTTGCCCTCGATTCTTCTCCGTCTTCCCTGCCAGTGGTGCAGCGGATGGGGGTTGCAGTCAATCACCCATTGTTTCTGCTGTTCCTTCCTCCTCAGGGGGAGCACTCTTCACAGTCTTCCCCTGCTGCAGTGTGGGCTCCCTCCCACGGGAGTGAGTCCTCCACAAACTTCTCCAATGTGGGCCCTTCCCATGGGCTGCAGCTCTTCCTGACCTGCTCCAGCGTGGGTCCCTGCTGCAGTCCTCCCAGCAACAGAATGCTCCAGCGTGGGCTACCCAGAGTCCTGGCCTCCTTTGGGCACAGCCCCTGCTCTGGTGTGCGGTCCTCCACAAGCTGCAGGTGGGGAACTGCTCCACCGTGGACCTCCGTGGGCTGCAGGGGCACAGCCTGCCTCACCATGGGCTTCACCGTGGGCTGCAGGGGAATCTCTGCTCTGGAGCACCTCCTCCCCATCCTTCTCTGACCTTGATGGCTGCAGAGCTGTTTCTCTCACATATTCTCATTCCTATCTCTGGTTGCTGTTGCACAGGTTCATCCCCCCCCCCCCCCCCTCTTAAATAAGTTATCCCAGAGGTGCTACCACTGTTGCTGATGGGCTTGGCCTTGATGAGTGGTGGGTCTGTTTTGGAGCCAGCTGGTGTTGGCTCTATTGGACATGGGGAAAGTTTCTGGCAGCTTCTCACAGAAGCCACCTCTGTAGCCCCATTACCACCACAACCTTGCCACGCAAACCCAATGCACTCTGTCCATGATTAATAAATGTTTTGTATGTTAATTGTTCTCATTCCGCTTCAGAACCCAGAGTTGTTCAGATAGAAATTTATGTAATTCCACATGCTCTTTCTTCCCAGTAAATGTGTTTCTGTCTTCCTGGGTCCTTGGAACTTTCCTGAGCATCAGCAAAGTGGAAGTGACCTGATTCTGCTTCCTTCTGCATTCGGAGAGCAACAATGAAGAATGTAACAAAGCAGCAGCTCTTTGGAGAGTAATTCATATAAAGATAGAGGGACCCACCAAATATCTGCAAGGGAGTTTGGGAGCTTTTACTGCCAGGAGGTCAAGAAGGTGGCAGGGTGGAGGGCATCAGCCAGTGAGTTAAGTCTTTGTATAGTTATCTATGTGCTTCCCTCTGTTTATTAAAAATAAAATTAAAATCTCAGAATTGGTTACTTGGCAGTCAAAAATAGATCAAAAAATTCTTGTGCGTAAATCCAAGGTAGCAACTTCATAAAATTATGCCTTTCCCAGTATGGCACTGATCCTCTTTATCTTCCTCTGGCTTGTTTGTTCAGATCTTTCATTGCGTGCTTAGAAGTGTGTGGTATGTAGACACATTCTATATTTATTCAGTTTACTGCCTATTGATATACTGTGTAGTTTCCTTTGAATGTAACAGCTTGGATTTTTATGAGAACTGAAGTGTTTGAGGGGTGTTGTACATTTATATTTATTTGTAGCAAAGGCATGTTAAGATGAAGTTTTGTTTCCCAAGTATTTTTTCCTGATTTTTCACTTAATTCTATTCTTGCAAAACAGAAAAAAAACTTGCAGAAGAATATTCCAAAAGATATGGATGCTGTTGGGCTATTCCCCCAGGCAATGCCGGGATTCTGCTACTGCACTTGTGGTGTGTGTTATGCTCACTTCAGTTCCTGTGGGTGTTTCTGGGAGAGCTGATCTGTGTAACAAACCTCTTCAACCCAGATTTGGGAGCTATAAACAGCTACAGCTGTTTTGGGAGGCTTTACAGTCCTGTATGTGTTCCTTACTTTTACATGAACTCTTTAGTCATAGGTTAGTTGCTTTACTACATATGTCATCAAACCAATGTACCTAAAGGAATGTCAGTATTTCCAGTTTATCATTTAGTGCAGAAACAGTGAAATACTGATGTTTGGTGTGGGTAATGGCTTGAAAAATTATAGAATAAGTAGCACATGATTTTCCGGTTTTACTTTTGTCTTTGGCTTCAACTTTAAATGTGCACTCAGCTGCTTTATGTCTCTTAATTGCAATGGCTTTTAAGTTGAGCTTTTTTTTTTTTTTTTTCTCACTAGAGCAGTGTAAATCTCAGCTGGAATTTGCCCAAAGCTTGCCTTTGTTTTCTTCTGCATGTGTGCTTGTGTAGGCATTCACGAATCTGGCGTGTTGGATACTTTGGTTTTGTTTGAGTGAAATCTTACTTTGGCTTTTGCATGTTTTCTCTCCCTCTCTCACAGAAACAAACTTGCCTGGATATGGATACTTTGGTTTTGTTTGAGTGAAATCTTACTTTGGCTTTTGCATGTTTTCTCTCCCTCTCTCACAGAAACAAACTTGCCTGGATATAATTCTGAGTTTAGTTTCTGGACCTGTGAAAGGTGTTTGCAGAAAATAGGCTGTGGAGAAGAGCAGTTCAAACTTCTGCTCTTAATTGAAGGCACGTGGCTGCTAATGACCAGCCAAGTGCATAGAAGTTGGTGTTGGTTTGGTGTTGGACTAGTTGGTGCTTTTTGTGTGTTGTGCTGGGGAAAGGGCAGCATGGGCATGCAGAGGGAAGCTGGGGTTGTGGAATGGGAAGCGGAGCCTGTAGGATGGAACAGACCCAACAGAAGCTTGAAAATAATTGCAGATTCTTGCTTTTTATTTTATTATTTCTCTACTACTAGATTCATCATGTAATCATATTTCCTTTAATACACATAAGTGTTGGTTCTCATTGTTTTCTGCATTACTTACTCGCTAAATTCTGAAAAACAACTCAATAATAGGATTTGAAGTAGAAAAAAGGTGATAGTAGATCATTCTTGCTTAAGTGTTGAATATGCTTCTGTACATTGATCTCTTTATTGCG